CTTATACCGTTCCGTGGCGCTGTCTCTGACGGCGTCGAGAAGCTAACGACAGTGTCGGTGAGAGAATCGCTTGTTTGGGAGAGCGACGACTGGAAGACAAGTGCTAAACAACTTCGACTCGGGGCGATGCACTATCACTATATGTGCTGCAGTAGAGACAAGGGGGACGTTATTAGGATTCGAGTGTATCGCGTGCATTCCAGCCTATAGTATCTTCCAGACTTGGAAGTGGGGGAGAGACCTCGTTTTTTCAGCTCGGGCTACAGTATAACACCGTCTTCACCTAACCTCGAACTCCCCTACTCGAGTCCACTATAGACTTCAAGCTCTCGAAGGCTAGTGATAAAGGTGCGCTGTGTTCCTAGCCGAACTCTGTACACACTCACGCCACGCGGCGCAGTGACAAAGAATCGCACGACGAAGCTGGTACTTGGCGTCGCTGAACTTAGTGAGTGCCCACCGAATAAGGTAACATAGCATTGTGGCAGTGTGTTATTACATTGCGGTTTGTCTAAGTACCCGCAGACTTGTGCGAGTAGTACGCGTTTAGAAATGAAAGACACTACAGTGGCGAATTGAACCGAATTCAAGGTTCAAGTTATGTGGGACACCATATATATATAGCCTAACAGCCCCAAGGAAAACATCACATACAACTTAGAACCAAACTGTGTTCGTCCACCAGTGCACGTGCAGTCCGCGTCCAAGCCCCTTCATTTCTTTATTGAAATAAAAAAAAAACAAAATAAACGAAGAAGTTATCACCCTTACTTGGCGGCGGCTACCCCTTTCCTCTCAATTGTTACGAAATAAGAATTAAGAAAAAAATAACATATGTTCATATATACAGTCCTACATCGGCGAGTCCAAAAGTTTTCGTTACGACAGAAAAAAAAAACACACCAACGACAAATATGACTCAGCCCTGGGTTTCTACGGAATACGATTCAATCGTGTAATGCATTTCGTGGGTCTTCTTGGTTCCTTGTGTGTAAAAAGTAGCGTGTTTGCGGTAATACGATCGTGGGGAGCACGATCCAGAGCACGTCGACCAATGAGTGCATGTGAGGCGCCCACATAAGTTAAAAAAAGTAAAGAAAAAAAGCAGTAGCATGAAAACATCACGATTAAGAAAATGCGCTTAAGAAGTCTATGAGCAATGCAGGGAACTTGCAATACGGCGGGAACATTTTTTTTATATACTCACGAACGCTCCTGTAACTTTTTTTTTAGGTAGGTGCGTATTAGCACGACATACATGTGCTCTTCCCTTTTGGGCTATAAATCCGATCATTCAAAAGCTTCGGTCACCTCAATTTTCGCCGAGAAGTTTACACCAGTTCCCCAAACACTGTGTATAGTTTCCGTGAAATTTTCTTTTCCTAACCTATCGATGAAACCTTAGCCGTATACAAAAACGTGCCAACGTCTTCCACGAAGTTCTACTACTATTCAAAGATTTTTTTTTTATTCTAAGATATTAAAACTTTCTCTATCATATTCCACATAACGTAGATAATCTGACAGGCCTTCTCACAGGCCAGAGGAAACTTAGCAGCCTTCTTTACGGACTGGGCAGAATATAACGCGTTCAATCGACCCGAATGCACCGTCTTTGTTTGTCTTATTTTGTAATCTGACAAGTTAAGCAACTCGCTGACAGAGATCGACCGCACCACGCAACGTTACGCCGCGACCGTCAGCCGATAACTGGACACGGCACCGCGGAAGTCTGAGATCGATATTTGCGACTTGTGTCACGCGATCGATGCCGAGCTATACGATTTCGAAAGCGAACAACAAAACTGCCATGAATGGCACTTGAACGTCAGAAGCGCGAACGTCAAAGAAAGCTGAGACCCATGTGTAAAAAAGAGAGAGAGAGAAAGAAGCGAAGGAATCGAAGAAAAGACTGACCATCTTCACGACTGAACGAAAGAAGTTGACGCAACGACTTCTTGCCGTCCAAAGGATAGCAACTTCGAGTCATGAACACACGCACGTACTCAGATATGACGTATACACAAGCTACGCACATGCGATACCGTACAACGAATGAAAAATAAGCGCTACATAGGCTTGAAACTATCGTAATGGTCCGGCCTGCTGCACAAAAGATAAGCGACGCTATAGGGGTCGACAAATTACCAATGACAAATTATTTACTCGTTCTGGATGGCAATTTGGAAGCTTGCCATGATAAATTCGAGAGCAAAGGGAAAGGGGGTTGCTAGAGATAGTGGCGTAGCTAGGGGGTGGCACACTGTGTCACTGCAACCCCCCCCCCCCCCCCAACACTTCTCGAAAAAAAAAAGTTTCGGCTTACGTTCTTGGGTGGAGCCAACGTTTCGACAAGTGGACTTGTCTGTTAATCAAAGCTGCAACATCAGCTCCAGCACCAATCATCTATCTGCTTTTGAATTTCTCGTCAATCATTGGTATCAGCAATCATTGGTATCCCGCGTTATGGTAGATGAGCGGAATTTCACAAGTTATAGCAACGCTGGGGAAACGAAAACGATGGGAAGGGAAATCGATTGGGCTTACCGGCACAGGGCATAGCGCGCATTACGACTATTGGGAGTCATGGTGTTACGCGATGCGCAGTTGAAATGGGTGTTCATGTCTATAGCGATAGCTAGTCGATAACGTATTAGTCGCATGGGGCTATTACGCCATTTCAAGGAGCTTCGCGTAGTTCACACACAGCAAATGAGACGATGGCAATGTGCCAGAAGGGGACAGACGAAGAAAGAAAGAAAGGAAAAAACAAAGAAAGAAAGAAACAAAAAAGAAAGAAGGACAGAACTGTCCAAGAGGCAAGAATATCTGCACATGTAGTATTGACGCGAAGAAGCGAGCCCAGGGGTTGGCACCAGCATTCTTTGAAAGCATGCGACAGCGGCAACAACAAGCCAGAGAGGCGTGACACGTACATGCTTTCCGCAACGTCAACGATTTAAAAAGTGACAAGACACGCACACACCGGTGACCGCAAGACCCTTCCACTTCGCAACCTCCCCCCCCCCCCCCCCCACACACACATTACAGGGAATACAGTTACGGTGCCAGCCGAAATAATCGACTCCGCGCGACCTGCGGGCGCCCGCCACCCTCGACGAAGCCACAAAAAGCTGCGCAGATTGGCACACATGAGCGGTTGCTATCTCATCGCCTCGAGTGTGCGGGCGCGCACAGTCGAAGATCTCAGAGAGACGCGAGCTTGAGACTGTTGCAGGGGAGACCGCGCAACACTCGTTTGCCCCCCTTAAAGCACCCCAGACGACTCTAAACTTAGTCTGAAAGTGTGACCCTTTGGGAATCGCAGGCGAGTTAGCCTTGCAGCTGGCAGTATACTCGGCGATCCGCGAACGACGACCCATCGTCTGGCATCCATATCTACTTGTTCTGTAATTCGGTTACTTCCGTCATCACTTTGCAGTTGTCACTGACATAAGGCGACGAACGCTTTGCTCAAATTATTCGAAGGCGACAAACTTGTACTTATGGTTATACACTAACGGCGGTGCTGTGACTGTGACACTGTGCGTCTGTGTTTTCCCTCTTTCCCTCTTTCTCTATTCCTCAAATTTTCAAACTCCCTTATCCCTTTCTTTAATGCAGGGCAGTATATCAGCTCTTACATAATTGGTTAACATCCCTGGCTTTCCTCTTCATCCTGTTCCTGCGATTTGGCCAAGTGCCTCACAAGACTGACGGGGCGAACGTCAAATCAACCTCCTTTCGAAAAAAAAAACTTCTCTACGACGCTAAGTTAGTATCTGCGGTTTTACGTTGCCATACCACGATAAGACTACGAGGGAAGCCACAGTGGAGGCGTCTGGAAATCTTGACCGTCTGATGTTCCTTAGCGTCCACAGACATCTCGCAGCAAACGGGCCTCTTGGCATTTCTCCTGTATCGAAATGCGAGATAGAACTCGCGACCATCGGGCCAGCAGCCAGTCACCGTAAGCGCTACACAACCGCAGGACACAGTGTTAACAGATCGAGCGCAAGGTTGCACTCGTTCTTTGAACACTGTGTCGCGTTTCCTTTGTAATCTGTTCCTCGTATAGCGTCTCCCTACCGTAATCGCATCGCCAAGCCAACATAAACACTCTGTCCCCTTTCGTTGCATCACCACTGCATTCATACCTGTAGCTCCATCTCGAGGACAGCACCCTTTACAGGAAAGATTGATTGATTGATTGATTGATTGATATGTGGGGTTCAACATCCCAAAACCACCCTATGATTATGAAAGACGACGTAGTGGAGGGCTTCGAAAATTTCGACCACCTGGGGTTCTTTAATGTGCACCCCAATCTGACCACACGGGCCTACAACATTTTCGCCTCCGTCGGAAATGCAGCCGCCGCAGCTGGGATTCAATCCCGCGACCTGCGGGTCCCTTTACAGGAAAGAAGCTATAGTGCAGTGTTTCCAAGAAATATAGGGCAAGCAAGCCAAACTGTAGAACAAAGTAAAGATATGTCGCACGAATGTGCTTGACTATTTAACTACCTATGTTTAGTGTGTAACGGATTTCAGAATCAAACTACCCTTTGAGTGTATGGTGCTTTTAGGGATCACCTGGTGGCCGCGTTTTCGGTGGAGGCCACAATGTCTGAAGCCCGTGTACTTAGATTTGGGCGCACGTTAAAAAAAGAAAAAAAAAAGCAGGTAGTAGAAACTTCCGGAGCATTTTACTACCGCGTTCCGCATAATCATAGCCTAGTTTTGGGTTGTCAAGCTCCATAAGTTATTATTATTATTATTATTATTATTATTATATTATTATTATTATTATTATTATTATTATTATTATTATTATTATTATTATTATTATTATTATTATTATTATAAGCGTTTGGAGATTGAGTTGCTTTTAGTGTGTGATTGCTTTACGTGTAACTTTCCTTAGAGTGCGACCGTAGTTGAAGTAACTGATTTGAGAGCGCAACTGTTGATTTAAATTAGGATGGACGAGCAACGTACCTGGCGCCCATCTGGCGTGCGCCGAAGGCGCTAACGCGGCTAGCAGCAGCAGCAGCAGGCATGACGGAGCGAAATGGCTCAACCGCATCGGTCAACGCGGCCGCGGCGACGCCACGCAGCTCCGCCTCCAGAGGCTCCACCCTGCGAGACAATAGAGAGTTTTAGTACTGCGGAATGGTGCTACGTACGCATCACGCAAGCGCCTTGCGTTACGTGGCGTCGTTTGCCACTAATCGGCTTTTAGTACGCCGTAGTACCCGCGTACGTAACGAGCGTGAAGCGTGTTCCGTCATCTGGTAGATCAAAATAGAAGCACGTGTTGTTGACAGCCAATGTGAGCCAATCCAACTGTTATAGCCAGATTATGGCCATACCTTAAGTCACAGAGCCCGTCTGTGCTTGCCTTCGATGCCGCCACTTTGCAAAACGAAGTCTCGCGCTGTCGCGAACTTGTTCGAGAGCGGCGCGATCACCTCATACGTACGCACGCACGCATCTCATGCGTGCGTACGTAGCGGCTGCGTACGTAACGCGATACGTGCACGTTGCAGTCTGCGCATGCGCACTACGCAGAACGTGGCGTCCTTACGTACGCAACGCCGCCACGTACGCAGCGTACGCAGTACTAAAACTCTCTAATGAAACACCAAAGTGTCACTAAACTGCGAACAAGTCTTCAATGTACTCTATAAAACGTAATACATTTCCCCTAAGCGTGTAACTACGTAAGCTTTCTTTTAAATACACAGATTGTGAACGGGATCTTCCTTCCACCTTTGCGTGATCTTGGCCCTGTACACTTTTCTCGCTATATGAGCTGCGGGTATTGACGGTAAAAGCATTGGTGTGATTTCGACGCGATCGGACGCACCTTGATAGATTTTTCCGTGGACGTTTCGTAGGCACCTTTAAATTCAAATAGTATTTTAATGTTTGCCAACTCGGAGACGTTCGACGATCGCCTTATGGTAACGTCCGAAATTCGTAGTCGTAACGAGAGATGGCATACTACGTGCAATCCGAGAAATCGTTTACGAAAGGCTGAAGGGTAGAATAATTGTGCAACCACCGAGAATAGATCTACCCGGGGTTAGCATGTATTGAGAAGACTCATGTTCGAAGCAGCGTATATTTACACATACGCTGCACAATAAAATATAAAGAGTATAGTTCATTGTGCATTGTTTGAGCGACGGTATACCTGAACTAGTACTTGTATTAGCGTTTGAAATGAACTGATGACAGCAGCATTTTTGCCTGTGTTTGTTAGTTCTCAGGAGATGGAAAAACGTTTATTAAAAAAAAAACAACGGAAGTGAAGCAGGGTTAGGGTAAGAAGCATAGTTCCCATGAAATCAAGGCAACGTTATACGCGCCTGTTTGACATCAGTTGTTTCAGCACATTTACTCTGAAGTGTGTTACTAACGGCTAAAATATGAAAGTTAGTCGGCCGAGTATTTCACCTAATGCATGTAAAGTCCGTTTCGTTAAGCATAGTCTCCACGACGACGTTATCCACGAAATTTCATTAAAAGAAGAAGAAAATTTTATTATTCAAATATTGCAGGCGTATGGTGTAATAAAGTAGAACGTGAACGCGCTGGAAAATTGTGCAAGGCGACTCAATTAGAATTGATTTTTCTTGTCGTCATGCTAGCGTGCGAAACAGTTAATGACCTGTACTCTGTTTACCAAACCTGCGGCTACAATACTGTTTGATCAAACAGCACACCAGCGCGTAGGGATAACAAACACTCTATATGCGGGCCATGACGCCATCTGCGAGTTACATTGATCATGGGCTTCGAAAGATTGCGTCAGACAACAAGGTACTGCATTAAACAATAGAACACTGCAACGCTGCAGCTTTTTGTAAGCGTCTAACATAATGGCTGAATTCGGCGCGCAGCCAACGGAACTGTTTATTTCTCCAGCGCTTGCATTAATTTACATTTGCAGCCAATTAATAGTCCAGCACGGTTCATTTCCACAACTGTGTGTACCGAATATACTACACGGCGCATATCCTTATCTATCATGACAGGCCCGGTGTCTGCGGTCTCGGCCCATGCATTATTAAATGATACGCATCGTAGACGCCAACACATTTCGAAGAACGATTGTGTAGTAAGCCGGCGGGCAATCTATTTTTACGAACAGCCAAAAGGTCATTAAAGAGTGATCGCGACAGAACCACGAGGGTCAAGGCTCGATGCCCAAGTGCGGCACGTGTCCATTGTAGTCGTGCCCTTTATTTAAGACGCATGCGCAGACCAACCCATAGAAAGAATAAAAAAAACGGTATCCGCGTGCCCCACTGAACACATTTTGCCTCCATCGGAAATGCAGCCGCCGCAGCCGGGAATCGAACCCGCACCCTGCGGGTCAGCAGCCGAGTACCCTAGCCACTAGACCACCGCGGCGGGGCAAAAAAAATTTCGCTCGCTTGATTTTATTAGAACGTCTTGTGAAGGCGTGTATCCTTACGGGCTTCGACACATAAACGTACCTGTGGTACGGTACACTAATGGGACAGGGTAAGCAAGAATATAGAAATTTTTGTTGCGTTATTTCAGTTTTGTAGCCTTTTCTGAACCAGAATAAGTCAATTGCTTGTCTTAGTACAAATTTGTTCTCTAAAGATGACATACTTCAAAACCTGTGCGGCGGCTTGCCATGCTCCCCCCCCCCCCCCTTCTTACGTACAGTCGTCAGCACGCTTAACTTGAACTCTCCGCAGATTGTCCTGAAACAGTTTGAGTGACGCTAGCGTTGTGTATTTTTGGGTTCTGTTGCCGAGATGTTACCCATGAACGCCGACACACTATCCAAGCATACCGATGTGTTAGCTAGAAAAAAAATTGCCCGCAGCTTCCCTCGGGGGAACACTGAGGAGGATGCGGAGCGTAACTCACGCTAGCCGAGGGAACTCGACCGGCAATCAACGACTGCTTGCACGTAGCACACACGACGTAGTCGGCATAGTCGGTGCCCTTTCCAAACGTATCGCAAAGAACCGACAACGCTTTGGAGTTGTTCTGAATGTTGCCGATCCGAGTTAAGTTGTTATCGAACAAAGACGATCACACACCTTGCAGGTGTGGCCGAAGCTTCGGTCGAGGAAGTCGCGCTTGAAGCGAGCGTTGGGCGTGGCATACTGCTTGGCGCGCCACGCCGCTACCTCGGCGCGCTTGCGCTCGCGGGCAGCATCGGGATCGGCCTCTCGTCGCCGACGCTTGCACTCGGCTTCCCGTTTTCGAAAGTCCGGGTCCTCTTGTCGACGCTTACGTTTCAAAGCGGCCGAATCCGGTGCTGCTGCTCGACGCTGACGTCTCTCAGCGGCTTCACGTTCTCTAAGTTGAGCATCTTCCGCTCGACGCCGACGTTTACGTTCGGCGTCGCGAGCTTTTCTCCGCGCTGCCTTGTCTTCGGACGACGACTTGGTTGCGGTTCCGCCAACACTTTGGCCGGCGCTGGTCGAAGGGACGTCGATCATTGCGACCTCGGACGTCGACGCGCCGTACAAACCAACCGACGAGCGGCAACTGAGCGAGCGAGCACCGACCTTGAGTATATATACAGCGCGACGGCGCATGCACTGTCAGCTGTCGAATGTTCGAGAAGGGGAGAAGCGCAACGGCGCATGCGCGCGCGTCAGCTGCCGATGTTCTCGAAGCGCGACGGCGCATGCGCGCGCGTCAGCTGCCGGCACGCGGTGTGTAGAGGAGGAAGGGTGCACAGATGGTGGAGGAGTGAAGCGCGCGCGGTGTGTAGAGGAGGAAGGGATGCACAGATGGTGGAAGAAGGAGGAGGAAGCTTGCGGACGGCGCCGCACTACAAGCCTCGAGTATTAGATGCTCCGCATCTAAAACCCCAAGCGCTTTCCGGCTGACATCAGTAAAAGTAGTTCAGGTAAGCTTGCTGACGACTGTACCAAGGGTTTCCTTTCAGGTCAAGCACCATATAGCCATTTGAAGAATTTACAGTTTGCAAGCTGGTGTGCGTTTGGCACATTCAGAAAAGAACGAACTCAGAACTGCGAAAACGAAAGAAAGCACAGCCATCAAGCTTTTTGTAGGAAAATCTATATCGAGTCGGGGACGTGTTAGTGGCGTCACCAATGGCAAGCACCAAAACTATTATCGTTGGGCCATTCCAAGAAACAGAGCCAGCTTGGAGGACATGCGGAAAGCCGTCCCACCCACATATTTTCACATGTCATCAAAGTATGTCAATCAATCCCACGGCCTTTGCTCGAAGGACGCTGCAACTTAGCCTAGTTCAACAAAGCCTAGTTGAATAGTGAACCATTCGTTCATAAAGAATAGCTTCCAGCATCTCTTACTGAGGCTGTTCAGCCAAATCACGTGAAACTATCTCATCCAGAATTACTTGCTAAATGCCTTCATGAGGAAAAAAAAAACTCGAAACCGTAACGAGACGTACGATTGTCACGTGGAATCACGCTCCAAACGAACCTTTTCCTCGGGCACCTAACACTGTAAATATTCACTTTTGATGCAGAGTTCCCTTTTAATGATAGCAATATAACTCGTGTTAGTGTACTGAACTATTTTGGAATTGCGCAAGGGCACTGCACAGAGCAAAGCCTACGCACCCTTGAACGGCGTGACAGTATACTGTGCTGACAGGGCTTGCACAGCAGACTACAAAGGAGGCTCGCCTGGCAAAAGTTTTTTAATAAAAAAATAAATTAAGGAGGCGTATGTGACTGGTGCTTACAGAGCGCGTCCTATCAATTTGCTGTTATCTTGTACTTTGGACATATAGTAGATTTTCATCTTTAAATGCGACTTATCTCTAAAACATGCTTCTTTTGTACTTATGTTCCAGGTTCAGCGTTGTGGCGGAACCGATAGACAAAGAAAAATGAAATGACACAAAAAAAGCAACTCAGAATCAGTTGAGATTTGAACCCAGGCCCTCTGCGTGGCAGTCGAGTATTCTACCACATTAGCGACGCTGGCGCTTGAAACTCATTTGTAAAAGAACCCTATACAGGAATAACGTAGGGCACGTATGGAACATAGCGTGACAGAAGAGTAAACTAACGACAAGTCATCACACTCAGCTGATTCCGCAACGAGTGGGTGTTGAATAATGCTTCCCACCCGATGCG